TTCCTGAAACAATGGCCAGGATCAAGAAAACCATCAACAACAAGTGCTGGAGAGGCTGTGGGGAAAAAGGAACTCTCCTGCACTGTTGGTGGGAGTGTAGACTGGTACAACCTTTGTGGAGGTCAGTCTGGAGATTTCTCAAAAAGCTGGGATTGGAAGTGCCATTTGTTCCAGCTATTCCACTTCTAGGCATATTTCCAGAAGAACTGAAAGCATCATACCACAGTGATATATGTGCACCCATGTTTATAGCAGCACAATTTGCAATTGCCAGATCTTGGAAACAACCCAAGTGTCCATCAACTGAGGAATGGATAAAAAAGTTGTGGTATTTTTATACAATGTAGTACTACTCAGCTGTAAAGAAGGATCACCTTGAGATATTTATAAATAAATGGACACAGCTTGAGACCATACTCAAGTGAAATAAATCAAATTCACATGTATGAGTACTGAATAGTTTCCTTATCGTAAGAAATGATTCAAATATACAAAAGTACGTGTAATCATGATCCTCCATTATGTGGCTTTGAAGCCTTATAAAGTTTTCCCTCATTAATTGGAATGACTTTATTCTGGGCTGTTTGATATTATTGCCTGTGATGATATATGAGCAGTTATTTTGATGAAAACAGACATCATAATAGCTAGTGCTGATTTGAAATCATCTTGTTTTAAAGTCCCATCAAACTGTTGTTCTTCTGTCTCCATTGGTTTTATCATGTTGTATCTTACTTGATTTTATTATATGTGATAGTATAAACAAAAATTTTTATAAGAAAAGAGATTTTATAGAAACCATTGTTCGTTTTCCATTGGCTGGTTCTAAATTCCCTGTAATACTTTCATCCTCTTGAATGGTTTCACACTGTCTTGATATGTTTGATGCTATAGTATATGAAGTTATATTCAAATATTTCAAGGAAAGAGACACTATGGTAACTACTATTAAGTTGGGTTATCTTGTGGTGAAGCACTAGGATGCTGAAATTGTTATGTTGTTATGTCCTCTTTTATCTCAATCTCCCTCTTTTTCTTAAAAAATTTATTTTTTATTATTACCTTTTTAATTAAGGAAAAAAAATTAGAATGTATTATAGTAACTTTTTTGTTTTTTTTTTTTTTTTGTTGTTTTTTTTGTTTTTTTTTTTCCTTTTTATCGGTACCGGGGATTGAACTCACGACTGCCTGCTTGCAAGGCAGGTGCTTATGCTGCTGAGCTAAATCTCCAGCCCAACTTTTTTGATTTCCTATTAACTTGATTTGAAGCCCTGTATTACCCCCACTATCTTGTTTTGACTCATTTTACTCTGTTCCATTCTGTTTGATAGCATCAAGTTTGACGGTATAGGCAACTATTTTGAAGGCAATAAGATTCACTATGATGCCCATTCTGGCTTGACTATTATCTTCTTTAGCTGTGTAATGTTTCCAAGTTTTACTGGTCTTGTTCTGTACTGTTTTGTTCAATTTTATTATACCTAATAATATAGGCAATTCTTTTTAAGGTAGCAAGAGGCATTATGGTAACCATTGTTGATAACCTTGTATTCTGTTTTTACATCATGTGCTATGTCTGTCCTTTGTTTTGACTGACTGTTTTGTTTTGTCATATTTGGTTTTATTCTCTTCCAACAAAAAGTAATAAGAACTATGGGAGTAATAAAACCCAAAATGTGTAAATTTTGTTGTAAAAAAAGAGAGGAAAATAAAAGTGCTCCAAAAGATACAACTACAAGTGCGTTTAGGTGTTTTAAGATAGATGACCATATTACTAAGTTTTTGTTGGATCGTTGAGCACAACTGTTTGCAGTCTCACTGTTTGAATGTCCACTTTGTATGCTTTAATCCTGTAATTTGAGCAACTATTTCTAAGATGACAATATATAATCTATTAACTAGTGATTTCTTACTGTATTTTTTTGAAATTCTGTATTACTTGTTTCTGTTATACTATTTTTTTTCCTTTAAATAAAAAAAAAGAAGTAATGATCAGGACATAGTTATTAGATTTTTTGAGATTATTTGTCTGTGTTGTATGATCTTATATTATATGGTAGCTAAGGTTTTGAATTTAGGAGGTATTAGCCTATTTCTGAAATAGATTAAAATACAGGGTACACTGTAAAAATATGGCAAGGGTACATGTAGAGGGTCCAGTTCCCCACTGTACCCTCAGTGTTCTTGGTGTTGTGTGACACCAGTGCCTGTGTATGTTATGCTTTGCGTGGAGGAGCAGCGAAAGGCCCGCATCACCTCTCAAATGGTCTGAAGACTGTGGGATCTGCATTTCTAGGGAGCGCCTTAGAAACGGAGAACCGTGCTCCAGCCCCAGACTCACCGAGGAACAGAAGCTTCCATAGAGATGTTAGCGTCATCTCTGTTAGAATGCAAATGAACTGAAGTCCTTTTCTTGCCTTAAATGTCTCCATGTTTGGTTAAAAAATGAATGCAAAATAATACAACCAAAAGGATTTCTTAAGACATGGTCTAAGATGCAAAAGAGAAGTGTTTTATACAAAAATAAAATTCATTACTTCTCTAAAACTTTTTTTTAACCTAAAATGTTTTTGCATTTTTGCGTTGTATTGTGGCTGATGGTGATTTTCCACATGGGACCTAAATATCTCTCATACATAATTCTGGTTATTGTGAGAGTTTATGTTTTTCATTATAGGTATTACACATTTAGTCCTGGAAAATAATTTTCTAGAATAGATAATGATACCAATTAAGATTAATTGTTTTAAAAAATACAAAACTGTGTTGCAGGGTGGAATTTGTTAAGCCTTTTTTTTTTTTGTCTTTTTCATTTTTATCGGTACCGGGGATCGAGCTCAAGACCACTTGCTTGCAAGGCAGGTGCTTATGCCGCTGAGCTAAACCCCCATCCCCTGTTAAGCCTTTTTGACATTGGTTACTTTTTCCTCAGTAAACTTTTACCTAAAGACAATCAAAAGTAATTCCCTAAAAGTTCAAGAGTTTATAAGGTTTTTTAAAGAATATTATTATCCTGTAGCCTGTACCATTCTAGCTAAGGAAACCTAGAGAAGCACTCTAGAGAGGGTTGGAATTCAGAAACTCAGAGGCAACAGCTTTAAGAAAGATATACGGTGCCCAGAGCCCAGGTAAGAGAGACACAGATGCATTTGTGACTTGGAAATGTTAGTGAAATCTCATAAAAATTGTGGGTCTGCATCTGGGTAAACATATTCAGTGTAATTATTAAATTTTTAAAAAGTCAGAGGTGGTGGTGGTGGTAGCTGAGGATGACACTCATATTTGGAGCTTTGCATCGGGAAGCTTTTTTCTCTCCTAGGAAATCTCTGTGACTCTTTTGTTCCTGTCTAGGAGAAACACGTGCTTGTAAATTTCACTCAAGAAAAAACATATTTTTACATCCACATCAGGAAGGAACAGAACATTGGCCAAAACACTACAAACTTGACCAGACTCAAAGATTCAAGGAGGTGGAATCCTGCAAGAAAAGAAAACTCAGTCTGGCAGAAAATTTCAGTGAGGAAGTTTTCTGTGCCAACATTGGCCTCAAAGAAAAATACTCCACCCTCTTAGATCTGCAAGGCAGGCAACGCCGGCACTGGCTGTGCAGCCCTCCCCAGACAAATGGATCCCTCCCTGATCTGCCAAAGCAAACTTCCCATTACACACTAGACATACGTCCGCCTTTCTGGAGGCCAGCTTTGCCTGTGTCAGGGAGTTGTGCATGGTGTAATTTGAAAAGAACCAGGGAAATCATCTGAAAGTTTCTCAGACAGTCTATGGGGTGCCCGAGAGCCAACCATTACTGCTCATTCCTTTATAATTGGAATTATGCTTCCCCTGAAGGTTTTCTAAATGTTAACTAAGTCCTGGAGCACACTGCAGCATTCCATCTAAGGCTCTTTTGTATTAAAACTTGAGGTCTTGCATCTGGCCACAGATACCCTATGGTAAAGATTCTAATGGGGATGATACCGTAGCATATGCGCTCTTTACTGCTGCCACCCACACTTCTGTATTCCACCTCAGCGGGATTGTGAAATGCTTTTACACAACACAAAGGAACTATCGCTCTGGGTGAGGCACAAAGGAAGGACGGTTGATACAAACTCCCCTGCGTTGGACCCTGCATTGTACTCACGTGTGTGTGCAGTTGGGAGCCGATGGATTTACCTGAAATTCCTTAGTGCTGCATCACTGAGGCTGGAATTCCAGGCTGTCAAAGTGGTTTCTCCGTTTGTTGGGCAGAAATCTTTCTTCTTCAGGGGCTCCAGGATGTCATTAATTGGGCTTGTCAGGGAGGACGAGGTTGGTACCTGATGTTCAAGGGTACCAATGACTCTGCATTTTTTAAATGCCTTCTCTTGCAGCATTTACAGCTAAAATACTTTCCAGCATGAGCTCTTCCCTGAGGCCCACGGCTTCCCCCAGAAGCCTCAAGGAAGTCTTTGTTGCATCATATTGAAGAAGCAGCCTTGCTGGGTGTGGTGGCCACGTCTGCAGCCTTAGCTACTCAAGCTGGAAGGTCATAAGTTTAAGTCCAGCCTGGAAAACTTCATAAGACCCTGTCTTAAAGTAAAATTTCAAAAAAAATTTGTGTATGTGGTGTGTGTAGGGGGGGGAGAGATGGCATGTAACTTCGTGGTGGAGCACTAACAAGGGAGAGTCCCTGAATTCAGACGATGCCACTGCACCAAAAACAAACAAGCAGACACCTCTTGAACGTGGTTAAACCTATTACCTTTAGCATTCAAATTCTACCACTGGATAACCTTCATAGTTTCTACAAAACAATTTAATCTTATTATCAAACTTCATGACTTCTTCAGACTTTTACCTGGCCTCTTACGCTGTTTCTCTCTAAAGGAATTTTTCAATATTTCTCCCGATCTAAGGGTTAAAACGTTGAGTTGCCTGAGGCTTCCAGTCAAGGAGAAAAATCTGTCTACTAGGGGAAGGGTGGGGAAAGGTGTTGCACAAAACTAGACCAGGGGAAAGAGTTCAGCAGCTTGAGGAAAAGCAAGGAGGCTTTGCCTGTTTGGTCTAGCTCACACTTGGGTCTAATCTTGCATATGCGAGTGTGTTCATGCATGCACACACGCCCCAGAATCTCGGGCTAGGAAGTCTGGGCGGCACTGAGATGTATGTATCAGTTCAAGATTTCAGCTAACAGAAGCCCTTAACGTAGGTTTCTGCAATATACTAAGCAGGAGGTCCTCTGATATCATGCCAGAGACGCACTGGAGCTTCTCAAAGAGTTTCCAGGATTCCTGAGATCTCAATCGAGGTAGGTAAAGAATGTGTCTGCTGCCTTTCACATTCCGTCCTCTACCCTGACATACCAGCTGTGTGCTGAAACTGTTAGAGACAGTTTCCCCTCAGCCTCTTCTTTGTCTCAGCCCGCCCCATCTCAACTTCTATTCTGTTTTGCCGTAGAAGAAATATAACAGCTGTATTTTTGCATTTTCTATTTTAAAAAATTGAGATATTTACACTGCACCTAAATGACCCATCAGAATGATATAATTATCTCTACTTAACACAGAGACAAATATAAGGCTCATAAGCCCCATAGCTTGTTGAATTTTCAGGGTAAGCAGCAGACTCACGTCTCCCTGCTCCTCGGGCTGTGCTCATATCATCAGTGTCACAGGTGTTGTGACTTCTGGGGCCATCAGTCTCCCTGTGTTTCCCAGGATGAGCCGAAGGCGCCACATTAACTCTGCCTTTTAAAATAAAAGAACAACTTTTAGGTAAGTGTGCAAATACAATAATGTTTTTTTATGTCACTTTTCTTTTTTTTTCACATGACAGCCTATTAGAGAAATCCAAGTGTCTCCTCATTATTATTTTTCTTTTGTCCTTTTGAAACAGGGTCTCACTGTGCAGTTCAGTCTTACCTTGAATTCACTTTGTAGCCCAGGCTGATCTCAAACTTGCAACGATCCTCCTGCCTCAGCTTCATGAGTGCTGGGATTACAGGCTTGCACCACCACATCTGGCTTTTCCCTCAATAATTTTTGCATGATAGTGTGTACTAGAAAAGGTGGCATCTGGTCTAACACTGGGTTCCCAGTTATGAGAGGGTGGCTTTCCACTGTGAATTCACAGTCATGCGGGCAAGGAGTCTTTCTGGGAGCAGCTGTCTGGGAGGCAGACTGGAGGAGGATAGTGTAGAAAAAATTCTGGGGTCTCTTTCCAGCCTGAACTCCATGGGGACTGGGAAGAAGGGTGTTGTTTCTCCCAAATGGCTTCTGGAGACACAAGCGATTCTGGTTTGGGGTCCAGCTGTCAAGGTACAATGTAAAAGTGTAAAGAAAGCCATCTCCTAATTCTGATGGACAAGAGCCAGGCTTCTGGCAGAAGGAGACATGAAGGGATCCAGCTCATCTGTGTCTTCAAGAAATGCAGCAGGAAGGGGAGCAGCTCTCTCCCAGGGAGCAGGGCGGCAGCTCGGATTTCTGGAGGCCAGAGGGGTGAGACACAGTGGGAGGCAACTGAGAGTCTCACATAATTGCTCAGGCACCTGTAAGATGGGGAAAGACACAGGTCTTGCAGTTATGCAAAGAGGACTTGCTGAAATATGACTGTCGATGGTAAAAACCACCTCTGTGACTGTGATTAGTGACTCCTTGGGAGGCTGAGATACAGTATATTGAAAATCTCAGCATAAACCCTGGCTAACTTTCTAATTCTTTCAGTTCTGCTTGCAAATTATTGTTTTTGAAAAGAATTCCCCAAATATACAGTGCCTACAGTTACTGTTCATCAGGAGTCCGCCCATCAGGCAATGCCACCGGCCAGTGATGTGGGGTGGTGTGGGTGGTGTCAGCCCCTCTAACCCCGGGCCTAATCACCTTTGGCAGTGTCCCCGATGAAACCAAGGCATGCAGGCCAAAGGCGAGACTTGGCTCACCTGGGGAGAACCGAGCCAAAGAAAATGAACGGAAAGTGCATTTTCTCTTAGCGTATTTCTTCTTTCGTTTTCTTCTTGGTCAGTGTATATGCAGCCTAAAGACACAGCTGTGAAGAGAAGGCTGGGGGACGTGGCTGCTTCTGGACCGAATGCTCAGTCATGCTGCACAGGACCGTGGGCAAATCTCCTAAGCCCTGAGGAGGACTGGTCAGTAGACAAATGACACTAACTGTGGACGGCAGGTCCGCATTCCAGTTAGGAACTCTGCATTCAGACTGCCAGGTGTGAGTCTACTATTGTGTAACTTGGGGTAAGTATGCAACCTTTCTGAACCTCAGCTTTCTCATCTGTAAAGTTAGAAAATGCCACCAGCTCATTACATTGGTATGAGGATGAAATGAGGAAAAAATATGGAAGGCCCCTAGCTCCAGGGACATTTCCTGCACTCAATGAACATTACCTATTCGTATTAACTGTGGTTGGCTTTGATGCTCCTGTGTTTATCTATAGTTGAGCTGCCATTTTTTTTTTTTTTTTTTGTCTTTTTCCTTTTTATCGGTACCGGGGATCGAACTCACGACTGCCTGCTTGCAAGGCAGGCACGTATGCCGCTGAGCTAAATCCTCAGCCCCATTATTTTTAATGGTCACTTATCTTTGTTTAGGTAGGAGTATTGCTTTTCTTTCCTGTACTGTGGCAGGCTGAGGCAGGAGGATCACGAGTTTGAGCTGAGTCACAATTTGTGACTTATTGAGACCCTGACTAAAAAAATTAAAAAATAATCTGGTGTCTGGAGAAGCAGATCACTGTGAAGGCCCAAGGTTGAATGCATAATATGTAATATCACACTCACACACACACACACACACACACACACACACACACAGACACACACACAGACACACACGAAGTTGCTCTTCTCATTGGGGATGTGTTTCCATCTGTTACCAACACAATATATCGACAATATTCACTCCCAAACTTATCTTGGGTTGACAATCTCTGCTTTATACTTTTGTGAGTGCTTTTGCTTTTTTCACTTTCTGTTTTGCACATATCTGCAGTACATAATGATTGCATCACTCATGGGCAGTTGGTCCATGTAGTAACACATCTGCGCTTTTCACCCGTTTCTCTGACTGTCCCTCGCCCATCTCTTGGTTTCCTTCCTGTTTTTTCAAAAGAGCTGCTCTATTTCTCATTATCCAGCCTTTACGTTGCTCTTTGTTTATATCTTGGGTTTCTCATGTAAGAAACCATGCAATATTTAAGCTACATGTTAGATTTATTTCATTTGACATTATGGTCTCATTCCTACAAATAGCTCATCTTTCTTTCTTTATGGAAGAGTAGTGTCCATCATGTGTAAATTCTTTTTGTTTATCCATTCACTTGTTTATGAGCTGCTTCCAACATTCAGCTACTGTGAACTGTGCTGCTATAAACATGGGCATGTATGTATCACTGTATTATGATGTCTTTAGCTCTTGAAGATAGCTACCCTTCCTGGAGCACAGTGAAAGCTCCGTGTGCTCTTCCATTGCAATACCCATTGCAAATCTCAGTGCATTTCAATGGTCTTTTTATTTGTCTGCCTCTTTCACTAAATCACAGATTATTTGAAGGTGAGAGTTGTATTTTCAGAGCCCAGCACTTACAGGAGATCTTCATTAAATATTTGAAGATAAATGCAGATGTGAACAGGTATCCTTACCTAACAGAGATTTTGTTGAGAAAGGATACAGAAGGTTCTGAAATCCAACCCGGACATATTTATCAAAAACAAGTGGCCTGGCCTAGTGTTGACCAGTGAGACAAAATACCAGAGACAGGGTCCAAGTTTTCTGCCTCTATCAAGCATAGTTGGTCCCTAGTGCTGTCCACTTGCACGGTGTGGCTATCATGTGATGAGCTATCAGCCTCTGTGTGGCCTCCAGAACACGTTCTGCATCCCCAGGGGTTGCCTCCTGGAAGGCAGAGAGCTCCGCAAGGAGCTGAACTCTGCTCTCTTGATTCCCTCCAGATGACCCTCGGTCCACCTTCGTGCTCTGTTCCCATCACCCTGGCTGTAGTTCAGTTTCTCATCCCGCGCTGCCTGCAACACTGAATCAGTAGGCTCACCGTCCCATTCTTCACAGTGGTTCTGAGAAGAGCCTTCAACAGAATTGCTCCATCCCATTCCTTGTCCTCGCCCCTCCTATGTTGTTCAGGGACGACCCTGCCCTCAAATAGGTCCCATCAACCTTTCCCTCACGGGTGTCTGCTTTGGGCCCATTTTCTCCTTCTCCATGGCTTCTTCCCCTCTTCTCACCACCTCTCATCCATGTGCACAGTGATCCACATAAGCTCCTGGGCAAGCACCTGCTGTGTATCTTCACAGCCTCTAGAAAGACTTGTTTCCTAGAATGGGTTCCCTGCCCTCTCACTTGTTAAACAGAGTGAAGAATCCTGTGCTGTGCAGATCTGTCCTCCATCGTGTTGGAGTATAAAGAACTCATTGCTGCATGCATTCAGGCAACTCCTATCCATTCATTCTCTAATTCTAAACTTTTGTGAGGTGTAGTGGACATGCCTATATACTCAGAAATCTGAGCCTAGCCTGGCCAATTTAGTAAGACCTTGTTTCCAAATAAAAGGGTTGGGGCTAAGGCTCAGTGGTAGATCATGCCTGGGTTTAACCCCCATTATATACAAACAAAAAGTAATAATTACCATAACATTTACAGTCTGCTTACCATATAGCCTTTTGATGCTAGGGACAGAAATAGTCATAAACAGCCAGATAAAAGTTCTGGCCCTCATGGAGTTTGTGTTCTACTGGAAGGAGACAAACAATAAATACATGAACAATTTCTATTGCAATACAAATGTGATTTAAATTATTGGAGTGTTTAAATCAGGTGAAGCATTGAGTAGAGAGTGCCAGAGGTATACAAGGGGTGGGAACCAGGGAAGAGCCCTTAGACAGAAACAATGTATGAACAGAGTCCAAAACATGATGAGTAAAAAGCTATCTCTAGAGCTAGCCATGCTGGGCAGAGGTAGAATAATCCCCAAGCAAGGACTGGAGTTGATGCGCTAGAAGAAGAGGGGTCACTGTTTGTGGGGCACACTGTTGGGCCCTATGAGGTTGGAAGCTCCCTGAGCTCATGGCCAGGACCCCAGCGTTTTTGTATTCACAAGATCTAGCCTGGTGCCTGGGAAGTAATAGCATTAATAAGCACTTGAATCAATTAGTAAGATTTTTTTTTTGTACCAAGGATCATACTCATGACCTCGTACTTGTCAGGCAGGTGCTTATGCACTGAGCTAAATCCCCAACTCCTAATTAATAAGATTTTGATATTATATACATTTGATATTTAACTTGAAAACTTGGAAAGCTTTTTCTTGTTTTTTTTTTTTTTTTTTGGTCTTTTTGAGACAAGGTCTCACTAGGCAGTTCAGACTGGCCTTGGCTTACTTTGTAGCCCAGCATGATTTCGAATTTACAGCAATTCTCCTGCCTTAGCCTCCCAAGTGCTGAGATTATGGGAGTGCGCCACCACACCTGACTAGAAAGGAATTTTTTTTTAGAAAGCAAAATGGAAAAAAAAAAAAAAAGGATAGAAATGGTACAGAATTTCAAAAAAGAAAAAAAGTAGGGAATTAACACAAGTTAATATATTGCTTATTTTTATCTCAGAACTAGTTGTTCAGGTTACAAAATCTAGATACAAAAGTGATCAATCAAACAATGACAGCACAAATTCTTTTTGATGAACTAACAGATTAGTAGTATATAGTTGTCTAGCACACATATACACACATACATTTATATATGTTTACCAATACACATATAACTTTTTCCTTTCCCCTATCCCAGTAATTCTGTTCTTTTGAGCACTTTCTTTCCCATTCATTATTAAATTATCTATTGTATACTTTGGATCTTATTACTCTTTCAGATTTCTATGTTTTATTACTTCTTTTTATACTAGGGAGACAATATGATATTTATAAATGTGAGCTTGATTTATTTTACTTATGAAGATGGTCTCAAGTTGCCACCATTTACCTATAAAAACTTCAAGATAATTGTTTTTATAGCTAAGGAATAATCCATCATATAAAAATACATCTTTTTTTATCCATTCTACAGTTGATGGGCACTTGGATTGCTTCCAAGATTTAGCTATTATAAATTGTGCTACTATGAACATGGGTGTACATATATCACTGTGGTATGACATTTTCAATTTTTCTGGGAAAATATCCAAAAGGGGAATGGTTGGATTAAATGAGACTTCTAATCCTAGTTTTTTGAGGAATCCCCACATTGATTTTCACAGTGTTTGCACCAGTCTACACTTCCACCAGCAGTGGAGAAGTGTTTCTTTATTCTCCATGATCCCGCCAACGTTTCTTACTGGTTGATTTCTTACTGGCAGCCATTCTTTCTGGAGTGAGATGGAATCTCAGTGTGGTTTTAATTTGCATTTCTTGAATGACCAGTGATGTTAAGCATGCCTTCATGTATTTATTTGCTATTTGTATTTCTTCATCTGAGAAATGCATGTTTATTTCAGATGTTCATTTTTGGACTGGGTCTTCGAATTAGTAGGGACCTGATATTTTTCAGTTCTTTATATAAATCCTTTGATTTAGGGATTGCTGGCTAAAATTATTTCCCATTCAGTGGGTTTTCTCTTCACTCTGTTGGTGATTTCTTTTGAAGCACAAAAATTTTTTAATAAGAAAAGATACCAATTGTTGATTCTGGGAAGTACTTCCTGTGCAGTTTGCATTTTGTTCATGAACTCTGCCTACTCCGATGTCTTCACGATTTATACCTACTTTGTCTCCCAATAGATGTAGTGTTTCTGTTTTAATATTTAAATTTTTGATCCAATTTGATTTTAGTGCATGATGATAAACAAGGGTCTAGTTTCAGTCTTTGGCATGTGGAAAGCCAGTTTTTCCAGTCCCATTTATTAAATAGTATGTCTTTCTTGCAGTGAACATGTTTAGCCCCTTTGGCAAAGATAAGCTAGCTGAGTGTCTTTATAATTGGGCCTCTATCAAAAAATCTGTTCCACTGATTCTCAAGTCTATTTTTTTCTCTAGTACTGTGCTGATTTTATCACTGTAGCTTTGTAGTATAATTTCAAGTCAGGAATTGTGATGCCTCCTGCCTTACCTTTGTTACCCAGGATTGCCTTTGCTATCCTATCCTAGGTCTCTTCTGTTTCCAAATGAATTTTTGGAGTGTTTTCTATAAATCTATAAGGTATGTTATTGGTATTTTGATCAGAATTGCATTAAATTTGT